CAGAGCTCCTTACAGTGCATTAGAGGGTCCAAAAAATAAATTAACAAAGAGTGTTAGCCTTGTAGATATATTGATATGTGCAAGTTGGGCTTACAAAAAATACTTTTGTTGTTCTAACTAACTAGAGGTACATTTTTATTAAAAATCATAAATTTCTGCTGAAACACTGCACAAAAATTTTATAGACAGTCATTTTGGCATGACCCCTTCTGACAGTGTCACCCAGCGTAATCTGCACCCCACATACCCTAATTCATACCACTGCTTGGCAGTTATCTTTACAGAAACAAAAGTGCTGGGCTACTAATCAAAAGGTCAATGGTTCGAACTCACCAGGTACTCCATGAAAGAAAGATGTGACAGTCTGCTTCTGTAAAGATTAACCAGAAAAAAAATAAAACTCGCTGCCATAGAGTCAATTCTGACTCACTGTGACTCCCATAGGGTTTCCAAGGATGTAAATCTTTAGGGAAGCAGACTGCTTCATCTTTCTTCCATGGAGGGGCTGTTGTTGTTGTTATGTGCCGTGGAGTCGGACCCGACTCATAGTGACCCCTCCTTGGGTTTCTGAGGCAGTATCACTACGGAAGTAGATTGCCCAACCTTCCTTCCAAGGAGTGGCTGGTGGGTTTGAAACACCAGCCTTCTGGTTAGCAGTCAAGTGCCTTAGGCACTATGCTACCAGGTTCAACCCACCAACCTATTGGTTAGCAGCCCAATGCCTTACCTACAGTGCCACCAGAGCTCCTTTCTATAAAGATTACAGCCTTGGAAATCTTATGTGGCAGTTCTTTTCGATCTTACAGGGTCACTATGAGTCAAAATCAACTTGATGGCAACAGGTTTGGGTTTCTTGTTTTCATTCTTTAAGGAAGTAAATCAATAGGCCTTTCTTCAATGGCACCACTGCATGGTTTTGAACCTCTAACCTTTAGGTTAGTGGTTGAGCATAAGCCATTTGTGGCACCCAGGGACCTTCCTAGCACAGGAGGCAGAGAAAAAAACTGGGTGCTTAACCAGCTAGGACTTCAATGGGTTAGCCAACTCTATCACTTAGTTATGGCTTTTCTTTTAAAGATCTGCATTCATGTACAGTTGATGATTTTACTATGCCAGTTAATTTCAATGCTAGCTTTAAATGATGATAACTAATTGAAAGCCAATAAGGAGCTCTGGTGGTGTAGTGGTTAAGGCACTTGGTTGCTAACCAAAAGGTGGGTGGTTCAAACCCACCAACTACTCCGTGGGGGAAAAAGATGAGGCAGTCTGCATCTCTAATGATTTTCAGCCTTGGGAAACCCAAGGAGGGTCACTATGAATGGGAAGAGTCAATGGCAGTGAGTGAGTGAGTGAATTGAAAGCCAAAGATTAAAGAAAAAGTCGACACAGATAAAATGTAGCGCCTCTCTGGCTAATCCTGAACTGCTTCAATCACAGCTCAATTTAATACAGTTACCACCCCCAAGCCCGGGTGTTCAGAATCTCTTATTTTGGAGTTAGACCCAGCTGGGGCTTGAAAGTGGCTCCAGACGTTCTGTAACGTTACCAGATGGTGAGTTCTTCCAGGAAGTTATTCTACTGTGGGTTTTCATTCCCTAGCCAGGTCTTTTGAGCATAATGTACTTTCTTAACAGTCACCAGTACACACAGCCTTCTCATTCCTTAACTAACCAGTCTCTCTCTCTCTCTTCCTATCTTTACCCAAGGAAAAAATTGTGAGCCAGAGAGAGGTTGGTTGATGGCTTATGGTCTCATATAGTCAGTGTATGCCAGTGCTATTGGATGCTGTTGAGTAGATTCCTATTCATAGCAACCCCATGTGACAAACTAGAACTACCCCACAGGGTTTCCTCAGCTGTAATCTTTACAGAAGCAGATTGCCAGGTCTTTCTCCTGCAGAGGTGCTGGGTGGGTTCAAACCACTAACCTTTCACTTAAGGTTTGCTCCTCCAGAGCTCCTAATATATGCCAACAGAAGGCAGTATTAATTTTTCCCTAGTCATAAGTGCCCTTTTCCTGTTTTTCTGTTTTGTCTTGTTTTAAGAAAACCTCCTTCAATTCAGTTTTATCTGATGATACCTAATGTCAAAACAATTAGGCTCTTTGCCAACTATTCCACAGCAAGAGCAAGGTCTGGACGCATACTTCTTTTAAACAGGGTTTGGATTAGAAACATCCCTGCCAAAACCTAAAATATAATGTGTAAAACTAGTAGTTATTTTTACACAGTGGTTATTTGTTTTTGGTTTTTGTTTGTTTGGTTTTGCTTTTGTTAGTTTTTTTTGTTTTTGTTTTTGGCCACACAGTATTTACTCTTTCTACTAATTGTAAGGAAGTCCCTGGGTGGCAAAAACAGGTAAGTGCTTGACTACTAGCTGAAAGGGTGGTGGTTCAAACCCACCCAGAGGTACCTTGGGTAACCTGTGGTACAGTTCTACTTTGCACACATGGCATCCACATGAGTGTGTATGAATCCATTCAAGGGCAACAACAACAACAATTCATTTCTGTGTCTTTATGTTGTTGTTATGTGCTGTCGAGTCGGCCCCGACTCATAGCGACCCCTCCTTGGGTTTCTGAGGCAGTATCACTACGGAAGTAGATTGCCCAACCTTCCTTCCGAGGA